CATTGCTCCATGGTCCAGTTCTGATGTTCACATGCCCATTGTAGGCTCTTTCGGCGGTGGACAGGGGTCAGTACTGGCACTCCGACCGGTCTGTGGCTACGCAACCCCATATGCAGCAAGCTGCGATGCACTGTGTGTTCTGACACCTTTCTATCATAGCCAGCATTAACTTTTTCAGCAATCTGTGCTACAGTAGCTCTTCTGTGGGATCGGACCAGATGGGCTAGCCTTCGCTCCCCATGCGCATAAATGAGCATTGGGCGCCCATGACTCTGTCACCGGTTCACTGGTTGTCCTTCCATGGACCACTTTTGGTAGATGCTAACCACTGCATACCCTGAACACCCCCACAAGACCTGCCGTTTTGGAGATGTTCTGATGCAGTTGTCTAGCCATCACAATTTGGCCCTTGTCAAAGTCACTCAGATCCCTAAGCTTGCCCATTTTTCCTGCTTCCAACACATCAACTTTGAGAACTTTAAGGGTGCCATTGTAACGAGATAATCAATGTTATTCAATTCAACTGTCAGTGATTTTAATGTTATGGCTGATTGGTGTAAAGCTTCAGCAACTTATAAGTCTGCATCTCATCTGAAAAGTGCTTCACAATGACGTTAATGTGAATATTGCATTTTCGGCCATGCTGAAGGGCCCATATTTCAGAGAATAAGACAGTTACAGTTTTGACATTATCTAGTATCTCTGAGAAGTACATCAGCACTGACCAGAATATTTTACAAGGCCACAACATTGTTGGATCATTGAATTAAATGCCAAAAAATCTGAAGAAAGCTTAATTTTTACAAGAACTCCAACAACCCCAACATCCTCCGTCCCCCCACTCCCCAATACAAAACCAGCTGTATTCTGTGACTTATCGATATCTGATCAGGAGTGCTTGGTAATTCTCAGTTTCAATATCAATCTTAGCCTAGAATAAGTTTGAAGTAATTTGAAGATATTGATGCAACCAACTTTTTAGAATTTGTTTGAAGTGACATGGAATGACTCAGTTACTCCGAACCCAACGTGTTCAGTATCGCATCCGACCACAAATACACTAATATGACCAAAAGACACTTGACCATAACAGTCATATGTGTTTGCTGAACATCCCATTCCAGATCTAGTGTATCTGCCAAAGTGACTCATTTCTATAAAATCTCCGATCCGACCAGAACCTGGCTTTAAAGACACAGTGCTACTCACTCATTAGGCCTACCAGTTTTATCATGTAGAGGACCAAATAGGACAATAGAGGACAATAAAATAAAATTCGATTGCTTGCCAAACAACCAAACTAAATGCATTTTTAATGGTTTCTGTTTGCTAACAGTTTTTTTTGTTAATAAATGTATTTTAATTGGTTTCTCTTCTCTTGAATACCAAATAATTGCTACAAATTTTTTCCATTTTATCACTTTTAGTTCTGTGTTCTTAAGAATGTGTCTTTGCGTCAAGGCTGCATCATGTGCCCCATGTGTAATCATGTACATACTTTGTAGCTGATCATAAACTAATGCTTGTCACAACTTCATACAAAGCCATTGAAGAGATTCAGCTCACGATCTGTGAGAAGACCCAAATTCATCTATAGATGGGATGAAACTGCTACAGCGTATCATGTCATTCAATACGAGGCTCTCAATTCAATACAGCTGAACAATACAATCTACAGACTGCAGAACAAAGTAGGCTACTGGTCATTAAATATATTAAAAACAAGTTTGTCCTAAGTACGCTGTATTTCATGAGCTAGTACACTAGCATGCAGCATACTCGTGTACTAGCTTGTAAAGAGCAGCAACAGCTATGGACAGCAGGAAGCAGGTAAAAAGCTAATTCAGGCAATGCTAATTTTTGCTGTATCCAAAAAAGTATCATACTGAGACATCACTGTGTCCAATTGGAATTTTGTGTCTCTTTACACCCCTAGTAACTGTCTATTTTTCCCTTCAAGTGATCCATTTCGATTTGTGTAGGCTGCTGCTAACAACAATTTCCTAGTTTGCTTTCAGCCATTTCTTATTTTAATCTCTTATCTTATTTTCATTATTTTGCCCTCACCAGAGATGTCCTTATTTTATGCTTGTCCTCACCTTCCTTCCGGGAAGGCTTAGACAACAGATATGTCGCTTGCTAGGTAATCTGAATTCCACACTTCTCGACCACTACATTTCTAAGAATCCATGATCATTCAGTCCCCTGACTGTTTACGGAATTGCATGTTTATAGCTAGGGGTGCATTTGTCCTACTGATTTTTAACAGTATTTTCATGCAAAGAGCAGCACTATCCTGGTGTACAGGTTTGAGGTGCAATATAACCAAAAAAAAAAAAAATCTCAGGATTTCCAGCATCCTGTGACATTGTGCATGTATTTTTCCTATTTATTTAAAACATTTCAAGGACTATGCATTTTAATACTTTATTTTGTCTATCAGTACCCCTAAGCACATGGTTTTTAGAGCTCACAGTTTTTACTTTCATGCAAGTGGGAGCAGATGGATGGGAACCTCATGGGATAGTAGAAAACCAAGATAATACATTTCCAGTAACTCCATTAAAAGTCATAAACTACAATGGACACAAATCAGATTCCTCTGGCTAAAAACCCATTTTACAAAAAGCACTGCTCTCACATGGTGTATCAATTTCTGTCTTTCTTTTCGCTGGTTTAGTAAATATAACATGCAAATACTTACCATCAGATTAATATAAGCATGTCACTGTGATCACAGTGTGTTCAGTAATCCAATGAGATATTCACTGCAGTTAAAACTTCATTAAGTTTGAATTTTACCTGACGCCTAATCTCACACAGATACAGCAGAGATACAGGCTGAAAAATTGCACTGACATAAAGCTTTTGATGAGCCTTTAATATTTCTGTTCATTATTTTTCAATATAACAGTTGTCAAATGCATAAAAACGTGCACCACCACCGAAAGGAGGGGTTTAATAATGGTGGAAAAATTATATTTGATGCCACAAGATACCTTTTTCATCTATTTGGTTATTCAAATATCATTGTCATTAGCTCTTATGGACATTCAAATAGTAAAATTAGCAAGAAGGCATAGGTTGAATCTAAAAATCATATATTAATGCCACTTCTTCGTCCTAATCCAGCTCACGTGAAGCATAATTAAAAGATCATTAAAAATGACACAAATCTAAACAGAGGCATTTTATTTCTGCTGGCTGGTATATGAGCATTAATGAGGTTGCTATGCAACCCCCTGACATCCGGTGACAGTTTGTGGTAGTTTGGCAGATCATCTGCTTCAACTGCTACTTGCAAATCCGTCGCATCTGTGTGTTTTCCAAAAGGAAATGCATGGACTCTCACGCCTGTCTATTTACAAACTCTCACATGGGTTAAGTATAGCTCAGTTTCATCATTAGCACCGCAGACAGGGGGAAGAGGAGTTCCTGTTTACATCACTCCAGCTCAAAGTGTACATTCTGAAAGATCTCAGCAGAAGAGATTTTTACCACCATCGTGCAGTTCTGTTTATAATTGTCCGTTCCGGTGGAAGCACTTCATCGTGTGTACAAGAATGACTCAGTAGACTGTCACGGTTTTCGATTTCAAGTGCCTGTTATTTCAGTGGAGACACAACAAATGGCTGCCATTTTAAAACATCATTAATCACGTGGGGTTTTCTTCCTGCAATTCTAATCAATTCTGTGACAACAGAGTTAACCCGAATCATTGATTTTTGTGCTTGTAATCTCTACAACTATAACTTAAAACACATTTTTTATGGCTATAACTTAAACTTATCTTTTGAGATAAAACTCCAATTCCTATAACTAGATAGCACACTAAAACTATGAAATGTATGTATATTAGGGAAAGGAGTATGAATACATTATCCTGATTGAACAGATAAATAGATATCTGTTTTCTAAACAGATACAAATACAGAGTTTTATTAGAACGCTTGCCGAAAAGGTTCACATGGCATCTAGTTGGTGTACATCAGGACTGGGATTTTACGTTCATGTGAGCAAGCAGGTCAGATATGAAGCTTACAGGACAAATAAAGACCACATTCATTAACATGAATTTACAGCAGTGCCTTTACAGTGTTCATTCATTCATCTTTAGTAACTGCCTGGTCAGGGCTGTGGTAGATTAAATTACTACTAGTTTGTTTATATTTTGGTAAATTATATCTTAGAGAACAGACTAAATTTGTTAGAAAATGTCATGGGCAGGCACAAACATAAATAATAACTGCGCAAGCTGGATAAAAAAACACTCCCTGCATATTTCTATTTTTTAAAAATAGAGAGAAACAACGTTCACGTTTAGGCCTACTTTAGGTTTAAATCCAAATGACTTTTTTAATCATGCAAATTCTACTTTTTTACAAGGGTGAGTCAAATGACAACCTTAAAAGTGTGACCTAAATTAGATTTGAACCAAATAGTTTCTTCTAGAAAAATCCACCCATTATATCTTGGAACACTTGAATGAAATGGAGATTATGTAGAAAAATGATATCCTTTTGTGATACTTATTTGCAATAAACAATGGAAAAAAAAAAAATCAATGCTTTCATTTGACTCACTCTCATATTTCGTAATTGTGAGTTAATTTCACACACCTGCACCTATTGGGCAATTGTGACTCTCTATTTCGTAGCTGTGAGTTAATATTTCACAATCGTGACTATCTATTGCAAAATTATTTGTTAATATCTCGGAATTATGACTCACTGCTTCCATTTTCAATAATTGACCCACAACAACACAAATATATGCAGCCTTGTGTAAGCAAACATTCTTGTTGATTCTTTTTTCGTGGGAACCGGCCACTCCAGGGGAATGTCTTAGGATGAACTGGAAATTGTGCCTGTGGTGTTGGTGTGGCTCGGTTAGGGGTAGAGGATAGCCTATTAACCAGAAGCACAAAGTTGCACTAACTCACAATTGCAAGATTAAAAAATTGCAACTGGGATATATTAACTAGGGTAAAAAGTCAGTGGGGCAGTGGTAGCTCAGTGGTTAAGCTGTTGGCCTACTGCTTAGAAGGTCATGAGTTCAAATCCAAGCACTGCCAAGTACTGCTGGGCCCTGGAGCAAGGCCCTGGAGCAAGGCCCCTAATCCTCAACGGCTCAGTAGTGTAAATGAGATGAATGTAAGTTGCTCTGGATAAGGGCATCTGCCAAATGCCATAAATGTAAGTTGCAATTATGAGAAAAAGTTATGTAATATTTTGGCAGAAACTAGTTTCCATAGATATTTGGAGCACTAAACAGATACAACTGCAGATAGATATTGTCTTAGACCCCTACTGTATATACATAAATATAACCAGCAAACCCCGCTGCACTTTCAGGCCTTTAAATATTTAATAAAGGTTAGTCCCAATTGACCCAAAGATCATTAAGTATTATTATGCCACTGACAGTCAGATCACACTGTTTATTCCAGTCTAGTTTCAGGCTGTTATGAGAGATATGTGCTGTATCTCTCTCCCTACAGTAAATCTGTTGTACTGTGAGAATCTGTGAGAATTTATGGTGTCTTATAATGAGCTGCTATGTCCTCACACTTCAAAATTCAGAGATATGCAAAATGCAGAACCTGAGCTGCAGTTACACTGATGTGTTTCACCCTGACATCCATCCTACTCCCTAATTAATTAAAACATTAGTCAAATGTGCACTGAGCACAGACTAATTTCAAAGTGTGCCTAAATATAGCTAAACTGCATATCCAGTAACCCTGTCTTAGCAAAACATGTAGCAGACAACGGGGAGAGGCAAAATTGTGCCTGTCCCTTTCCAAGTGCAGGATCTGAAAAGCTGTGCGAATTAAAAAAGTCCCGTTAACGCCACAAGCACTGGCAGCTAGATTCTGACCCGCTGCTTGAATGTGTCAAAGCCAGAAAGCGTCAACTGAATAGCAGCCTAAAAAAGCACAGCAGGATGAAGGTTCTCGTCTGTCTATGGCTACGGTGCTACCAAAAAGCCAAAGAAAGCCTTCGCCAGTGGAAAACCGGCCAGATCTATAGATAAAAAAAGCGTTTGTAAATCAGCAGGCTGTCAGTTTGAATCTGCAAGGCCAGTTGTGACAAAGGAAAGTAAATCTATGGCGAAACAATGGACTCTGGAAGGCTGAGAGTCTAGGAGCTTGCTGAGAAAGGTTCTGCAATAAAGTGTACACCTCCTGCAGGGTTGTTGTTGAAAGGTAGAAAAAGGAGTCCATCAGATCTAAATCAACCCCACACACACTGGCGCAGCAAGACACCACAGCAGAATGCCATCTCCGCTGTGACAGGACCCTAGGTTCATGACAAGACTGGCAATTCAGGTGCCATTTTAAGGTGCATCACTTTTTTTTCTTCAGACCTGAATGAACGAGCAATGGGGTACGTTCGAAGTGAAATGGCTCAGCCAGAACCATTTTTTCTTTCAGGTCTGGTTATCACTTCAGATGACCTTAGCTAGAGAACAAAACCTCAACCTCAGCCTCAGAGCTGCTATGCAGTTGGCACCTGGGTTTAAATAAGGGTTATTTGTCTTGCTTAAATGCAATCAGCAGCCTAGTGCGACTCGATCACAGCTCATGACCAGACAGGCACTCTGAAATCAGCACAAGTATCTTCTCCACGTCCACTCTGACCCCAGACTACACCACTGAATACCAATAAGTACAATAACCCATGTCTCCCATGTCCCATATCTAAAGAGTCTGCTACAGAGGAAGTAACTCATTATTGTTGGTCAAATTACCAGTAATACACTTCAGGATGTGCTGCTACAAGAAAATAATTATGACAAGGTGGTGTGATGCCACGCCAAAGTGGTGACAGGCCTTTCCAAAGTGTACTATTCCTCTTGTACCACAGCTATTTCCCAACGATTAATTTTTTTTATTCGTTTCTGAACACAAAATGTTTTTTAATGTTAATTAAAAAGCAAATTAGTTTATTAACATTTATGTTCTAGCAGGTAAAAACAGTCGATCCCTCACCAGTCTGTCTTTTGCAAGACACAGCTTGTCATGCTACCGAGAAACCAGAAAACATAAAGTCCTCTGTCCCTAGGACTCTCCTGTGGTGGAAAACTTACTGACTATTACAAAGCACTGACTCCTCTCATAAATATTAAATAAACGTCAATACATATGTGTTTTTCTTTGTTTTTCTTGTCATAAGAGTAAATTTCCGATGTTCTCTGGGTGGGATGGATGGCGTTACTCTCTCTCCTTGTCAATCACAGCGACACTATGCTATCATGGGCGTCTGTGAGCTCGTGTATGTGGAAGAGGGTAGATAGGGAGTGTGTTACGCTGTATGAGCAGCAGTTCGAAAAAATACTGTAGTTCACTTCATTTGTCTCAGCGAAATTATGTGTTAGCCTTATTTTATAGCCTCATCCTCCAACTGGTTGGCTGCCATCATATGTTAGAGGAGAGCTAACATAAGAAGAATGGATAAAAAAAATCAATAATCAACTTCTGACCAATCAGATTTGAGAATTCACCAATGCCGTGATATAATTCATTATTGATTAAGTTAAAGTTATTTTGCAATATTAATTATTAAGACAACTTTCTTTTTCTGCTTTCATGTCCTAATCCACTTTGTGTTAACTTGAATCCTGTAACAGAGTCGTGTGATGAATTACCAAAGCATCTGAAAACCCGCTTTTGAGCTTTGGAGAAGAAGATCATATCAGTTTAGCCAGAACAAGCTTTATCGGGGGGAAAATGGATCAAGAGGCATTAAGAGAGAAACATGAAGTGACTGACATTTTCCTTTACAAACAACCTGTTATAAATAAAGGGACAAAATGGAATAGCTGAGAACTGATCTAAGTCTAATTCTTTCCACACAGACCCTCCACACACAAGCATTCATTCCTGTCATCTGGTATGGAAGTGCAGGGCTAGTAATTTTGACACATACAAGATTTTGCAAACAATAACACTTATAACAAGCATTACTGATTAATTCTCACTATTACTGATTAAGTCTGGCAGCATTTGCATACTATACTCAGCTTATAAATGCCTGTAAGCTTTGTCTGTGATCAATTCAGTTTTAAGTAAGTAAAACCTTAATGAATCTAAGAGGTCCTGAGATGAAGAATTGACTTTTTAATCTACATTTTAATTTGCACATCACTACTTACCTTCCATAACATAGACGAGTGAGCCCACGTCGCCCTCTTTAATAATGCAGCTCTCTTTGTCATATTCCACCGGGTACATGCAGTCCACTATCTCCTGGATCTGTGAGAGCTCCAGGTTCTTCATGAAATCATTGTCTAGAATGGCCTCCTTGATGAGTTCCTTGGACCTGTGGATGAAAATAACTTAATGGGTTGAGAGCTGTATATAAAATTGAACACTAGCACACAGCGCACAGGAGAAAATCAATTCACTACTCATGGTGTTTCAGTGATATCCAGGCAGCCTATATGGTCTCGGGTAAGCATGGAATTTAATGCTCTTTTCAGATAAACATTGAAATGGTTTCTCTCAGACAGACTCAAAGCACTTTCATCTTTAAAAAAACTGAGGACCAGAAAGTGGTTATTTCTTTTAAAGAAATAATGTCATGTGGACATTGACTTTGTGAAAGCAGTCAGTAGCTGCGTTTACATGGACACTAATAATCCGATCGTAATTGGACTAGAAGCACAATCAGATTTAAAAAGTCACATGTAAACACGTCAATCGGAATGAATTGGCCAAAACCGATTAAAATTTCATTCGGATCGTAAGAGGTGGTTTAAACCTTTTCTAATCCGATGGAGAGGACATGTAAACACTTCATCGGATTGAAAATGAAACCAGATAGTTCTGCGCATGTGCAGTATCACGCTCCTCGTCTGTGAAGTGGTGCAAGACGACGTTGTCCCACCAGTCCTTGCTTCGGACCCTCATCCACAGACGCCTTGTTCTGGGCTCGGAAAGGGGCATTTTAATTGCTTGATAAATACACGCAGTACCGCACAACACATCACACGCTCATCGTCTTCTAATTAGCAGCTGAAATAGGCAAATGTTAAGTCTGCTTTTTAAAACGAAAAAAAGAAGCAATGGCAAGAGAGTGGCTGCTAGTATCTGCATGTTGGAACGGCGGGAAACGTGTATTCGTGCACTGTGCGCATGTCAGAAGATCAAATCCGATTCTGTCATGTAAACGCGCATATCAACCTGATTACTTTATTCAGCGTTCTTGTAAACACTGCGATCGGATTAATCAATCTAATTGATTTCATTCCGATTGAAACAAAAAGCGTCCATGTAAACGTGACTAGTGCTGCCTCTCATCAGTGGATGGATTCTCGTTTACACAGAACTAAATACTAAATTACAGCCTCAGCCTTACTGATTGAGGGCTGCGCAGTATGTTTCATCTTTCTGTCGTGCATCAGGAGGCCCTGTCATTACTGGCAGAACGCCGTTCAGAGATGCCCTTTTAGAAGCTACTATTTTCAATCCATGCTCTGGTTGACTTTAATTATTTTATTATGCCGATAATGCAAAAGCGAGACGCTCCGTCTGCTTGAGATAAATCAGAACACTTTCCTTCAATTTGGGCACCAGGGCTGGGAAATGAAACATCTGCTCCAGTGAACTTACAGCCCTGAGGAGAGCAAGAGGTACAGAGCTGACTCGCAGATACATTTGAACTACGCCGGCTTCTTCGTTCACACTAGGTGCTAATGCTTGCTGAATAGGAATATATTAGGGTCCATTTCTGTTCTATTAATATGTTAGGGTTTCATTACTGTTTTCAAAGCTCCTTCAGTGATAATCAGCTCACCAAATATCTTGTGGAAGAATGGTGTTCATCACTCCTGTACAGTTCCAGAGATTTGCAGAATCCACACCAAGGCACAATGAAGCTGTTCTCCCCAATTTGGTTACCTGCCAATTCCTACCTACCAGTTAGCTCTCCCCTATCTTATGACAGCTACCAACTGGGGAGGGTAAAGCCTAACACACGCTTCCTCCTGAGACAGCCAACCCCAACATTTCAAACTGGCTATGTACCCTCTTCCACATACATGAGCTCACAGATGCCCACGATTGGCTAG